ACACTCCTTGGACACCTGGCTCCCCTCCCCTCTGGGACCTCAGCACTTCCCATCCTCTGTTGCTTTTCCCTTCTCTAACTTGCTTTCCTATCTTCTGACTCTGTCTCCACCTACCGATAGTCCCTCCTGCCACCAAACCTTGTTATCACTTCGATGGATGAAGTACTATACCGTTGGTACGTCCCTCCCCACCTTCCAGTTGATAAGGCCCAAAGGTGAGATTGGCTAGGCAGAGGCCAAATTAGTGCAGCTGGCTTGACATGTTTTATAGAACTTGTTTCAGCATGTCAAGCATTCAGGGCTTTGCACAGAGGCAAGCCTTGAGGGACTGATAATATTCCTGGTTTTGAAAAAGTAACACTGAAGGAGGAAGAGCTATATCAGTCTAGGGAGACAAAGACTGAATTGTGGGGGAAAGCAATCTTTTGGCTAGGTTTGTGGAACAGAAACTATTGCATTGTTCCATGAGTGCTTCAGTTCTGTTTCCCCAGCTGGCAGGAAGCCCTCTTTTTGCTGCCTTTTTTAATCTACTTCTGACTGGTGAGAAGAATATGTAAATAGTGATTTATTTTGCCATCCTAGAGTGCCACATGATCTGGATTTTTTGGCCTCCTGGGTTGATAGATTCCAGGGTAAATTAGCTAGTTTAATGTTTAACAAACAGTTTGATAATACAAAATCCTGTGCAAATTCTAAGTATGGTTATACAGGCATGCGTTGGTGGTGATAGATAGCCTGAGGTGCTATGTTCACTGAAGCTTTCCATTTTTATTCCAGAGCAAGCTCAGGCCTTTAAATGCTGCCAAAACACCTATTAATTTTTAACAGCAAAAAGATGAGAGGTCCTTCCTTTCTTTTGTAACTCCCTCTTCTTTTCTTTGCATTCATTTCTTTCTCACAAGTTAGCTGTCAACTTAGGTTGCCCACCCCTCCTCACTCCTCAGTGTTCCTGCCAACTAAACTAGCCTTTCTCTGGCAGGTATTATACTTAGTGACTTGTAAGCAGGGTTTAAGTCACCCCTCTAACTCTTCCCAGGAGCTCTCTCTTCCCTTCTTCACTGCTGTTGCCACAAGTGGCTGTTATTCTAATAGTGCTATCACTCTGCCTGTATCATAGTAATTCATGGTTACTTTGTATGTGAGATGAGAAACCAAGTTTTAGCATTGTTGTTATATGCTATGTGTGCTATACTTCAAAAAATGCTGTTTAAGTACTATGTATTATCCAGCTATCCAGTCTTGGATGTTAAAAATGTCATCTATTTGGCACAGCAATGACATCATATAGTGATGGAGAACAGAACCATGCCAGTGTCACTAGAGCTGAAAAATGAAATCTTAACTGCCATCTTGGCTTGTCTTCACTCCACTCCATTTGAGGAAAGTCCCTGAGGCTGCTTTAAACAAACCATGCTTAAATAGGCTCTGTGAACTGAAAACAAAGCTTAAACCAACCCAGATAGAAATGGGCCTTCAAAACAACAGTGCAGGGCTCTTCAGCTCTTACCCTGAATGGGGGTTTGACAAACTACTATTAGTTGGCAAAGGCAGGTTGTCACAAACCATAGCCATGCACTTTTTCACAGTACCTATATGGAGAAAAAATGTATTTATGAATCCCTATTTACTATTTAAATTACATTGCTGTCTGTAAATCATCCATTCAAGAGCAATAGGGCCTTGATGCACCTTGTACTTTGAATTGCTCAAATGTTGATCAGTTAGCTCAAGTAGCTAGTGCTAGCTTGAGTTTGGACTAGTCGCATCTTAAGGCTAAACACCTTCAGTGACTGTCCTCAACCTTCACAGCTGTGACTTGCCACTAGAAGGCTGGCGAGCAGGGAAATTGGCTTGGTGCCAGAACTGTCCCCAGGGCAGTCAAGTTCAGAGGGTGGAAGGTCTTTCCAGAGAGAACAGGAGGGTTGGGAAGGAGACGCTGCATCCTGGAATGCTGGAGGACTGACTGCAACTTGGGCAGCTCATCTGTAAGGAGTAGCCACACATTAATGGATCATGAGCTGGGTAATATGGATTGGGGAGAAACCTGCCCTGGAGCAGTGTAACTGTAAGCCACCTAAAGTGTGCTTAAAACTAGTTTTCAGGTGTTAATGCGTGAACAATCCAGGGGTTAAGAGCTCCAGGAGTGCGTAACAAGGCCCTATAACATGCATCGGAGAAGTTGCGTTCTGACTGCCCTCTTCTGAATGTGAGAAGATAAAACACATTGTGGTACATGTCCTTCCTGGCACGCACCCTTCATTAATAAGCATCTCCTATATTATGCTAGTGAATAGGGGTTTTTTTGAGGTCTTAGGGCTGGCATTATGGATGTGTATGCTTTGCTTTTCGTGAGTACCCTAGGCTTTCTGTAGTTTTTGAGTATCATGTCAGTCCATGACACTTTTTTTCTCCCCAAGCTTATAGTAGTGTTCCTTCAAACTCTGATCTTCACCTAGCTGGTGTCCTTAGGCAAGAGTTTGCTATCCAGCTTTCTTCCTCCTTCCCCCTCTTGCTGGATAATACTATTGCCCCAAGTATTTTTTTCCTTTCTGTCAGATTTGTATCTTTATCTCCAGGTCCCAGTCTGCTCAGTCAGTAAAGCTATTTATTGACTGTTTACTACTTTCTCAAATAGAAATGTAAGATGTAGAGTTGCCATGCAGAAACTCCCTTGCTTCCCTTTTTAGCTGTAGATCTTAAATGTTAGAAGTGTACATTACTAAAGACCTTTTCAGTGCAACTGATATCTTGGTATTAAGAAAAATCAATATAATCTATCAAATGTTATATTGGATAAACCAAAATGACTGGCTTCCTTACATATTCTCTGAGAGTTGTGGGCTACAGTAAATATGATATGTCAAGTTGCAGCATAGGGTATTTTGTTTTTTGTTGGTTGGGGGGGATTTAAAACCACATCTATGACACTGTGTGTTATGAGACCTTATTGAAACTGAAAGAAGGTAGGAGGGCTTTTGGATGATACCCTGAATGACTCTTTCCTTTTTCTAGATAGCAACTGTTCTTGGGAACATTTGCCCCTCAAAAGATTAAACTGTAGTTGCTGCATCTTTCATTTTCTTTGCTAGAGAGAATTATATAGACATGCCTATAAAAATGACACACATGGGAATATAGAAAAATAAATGGAATCTGTATTAGCATTGAATTCATAAGAGAACATCATTTATTTTCTTCGGACCATATATATTCTACAACTTAGCCTCTTGAAACAGTTTAAGAGAAATGGTTGGGGGGGAACTTTTGGTTTTGTGTATACTTACACCACTTGGTCCTGTGTCCTAAATGATTTATTTAGAAGGTGTTTTACAGATAAACTTTCATCTATATATTGATCTACTGTCTTGGATGAGCAAACTGATCTCTTGGGGGACTGAACTAAATAAACAAGGAGAAGAAATACAATGCTACAACTTAGTTTGCAATAGTCATCTCTTCAACCGTCATTAAAGTTTAAAACATGGAATACAAGAGAGGCTGTCTGGCATTATGCAGGCAGTGATCTATATATTAATTTAAACTTGTTGTTTTAAAGATGATTTTGAAGTTACTGGGTCATTCAAGATGTGTATAGTCAGATGTCCAAGACTTAAACTTGTATGTACATCAGAAATTTCTAAAATAAATTTTAGTGCATCAAGTTGGAGAATATTTAATAGGTCATAACACTTAAATAATAGTATCATAAATTACAGAGGTAAAATAGGTCCTGGAATTTTGAAAGAGACTTGTTTTACATACCTTATATAAATTAATATATCTGTAACTTGAAGGTTTTAAGAACTATTTGCATTTATGCAATTGTGTAATTTCCACTGAAACTTGCACTTGTTTTTATTTTAAAGGTATTCTGAAAATTATTACCTTCAGATAGTCACAAAACTACAGCACTGCGCATGGAAAAGGAGGCCAGAAGAATATGAAAAATTTAGGTAATACCTTTCAAATGATCTCTGTACTATAAAAACCATAAGGTTCTGTGCCTCCTTGGAACTATTACTGTATTTATTTCTGCATACCATATAGCACTGAGAACAGGGTAAGATTTAAACAAAAATAATGTAGCTCTACCCATGTCACCACAGCTTGGGAGTGAACTATTACATTTTCTACAGCGGGTCAAATGAATGCTTCTTAGCTGCGGAGAGAAAAAACTCACTGTGTGGGGGGGGAAAAATAAAACATCATAGTCTTATCAATTTGAGCCTGTCAGTCTGAGAGCAGTCATAAGTGTATAGTGCACATCTTACTTCGGGATTCTAGGTTGCTATTTATTACTTCTGTTGCAAAAATGCCAAAAGACTCCAAGCAAGACTGATACTGTATGCATCTTGGTTTTGGTCCAGTAAAGCAAATAAAGCACTATCCTAACACAGGTAGCATGAACTCAGGTGTTGTCCAGAATATGGATTCCTGAATCAAGGCTAGTAAGTTTTAATTCCTGGCTTGAAAAAGTTTATTATTGAATTTTAAAAAGTACAACTTGAGGTTCACTGAAGCTCAAACTCATCTGACACCAGTACACATACAGCGAGGCTACTCCAATGCACTGTAGTTACAGTGCATCAGAGCAAACTTGATTTAATAGTCTGCTGGAGTGTGGTAATTACTGTGCTCCAGCAAGTCCAGCATTATGTGCATCAGCATCCCCATGATGCAAAAATGGGCTTTAGTTAAAGTGCCCCTTTTTTCAGTGTGTGGTGACACTGATACACGTGATGCTCTGGGCACTCTAATTAGAGCGGCTCTCAGAGCCACTTTAAAGCTCTGCCCTCCCCCACCTCCATGTATAAACAACCCTTCATGTCTAGTGCTTGACTGCTTGTAATCTGGTCGCACTGATTTTGCATCATATTATTCCATGAAATAGACAATGAAATTTTGTCAAGATAATTAAAAAAACAAAAAGTCTGCCTTTTTTAATTATTTACAATTCCAGAGGTAGCTAATTCTAATATCCAATATTAATAAAGTCTACTGCACTATAGCATGAAAGTTATTTTTGGAAGCAGACAGTGACTCTTGTAGAAATATAAAATATCATTCTTCGCATGGCTGGTACTGAAGCATCATTTAATGCTGGCACAGCTATGGGAACAGTGTCAGATTGTAGTGTCTGGTGCTGAATCTTGTGAGTCTTTCTATTAACAGCATTAGACTTGGATACAAAGGTGCATGAGGGGCTATAAACTTGACATCTTTAAGTAAAACTGGCCATATTAATTTGAAATCCATGCAACTGAAACTCAGCCTGGGCAAGAGTAATACATCTGCAGGTGGAGAATTCCATGGGAGACTGAAATAGCCCCTTCCAACCAAATTCCTCAGTATGGTGCAGGAGGAATCTTACTTTGATCACTACATGCTCTCTTGCTCTAGCACTCTTTCCCTCCCAACTCTGGCCATTTTGAAAAAGTAGACAAGGCTGTTCAAAGATCAGGCCAGAAGTATGCAGTCACAGCTGTGGGCCTCAACAAACTTTCAGGAAACCAGGCTATGCCTCTACTGTTATCCAGTGATACAGTGAACAAATATACTCGCACTAGATTTAACCTAGCTAGTTCAGATGCCACTCTTATAGGAGCATAGGCTTCAGCAGTGATTGTACAATGATGTTTAGGATGTTGGGTACTTAGTAGCTGAAGCCTGTAACACAGCTGCAGCATTACTGGGACCCAAATTAATTCAATTGCTGACATGTTCTGTAGTCATACTTCCCATGCAGTGTACATATAGTATACTTATCTTCTCTTCCCTTCTTGAAATAAGCTTCTTGATATTTCATCCACCAACTTTTAAGTGCAGTCGTTATACTAATTTCCTCAAGATCAGGAAATATAGTAAGATAAGAAGTTCCCCCTTGCCTTTTATGCATGTATAATACTGTCGCAGGGCACAAAGGTACCCTGCTCCTAGAGGGGCGGAGGCTGCCTGGGAAGAGGCCCAGAGAGAGAGAGAGACAGAAGCCCAGGTGTAGGTTACCAGGGCAACAAGCCAGAGGGTTAATTAGCCTGCACCTGCACATGGTCAGCTGACTGGAAGGGGCAAGGCTCTGGGCCCATATAAACCCCAGGACCGGGCCCAGAGAGGACAGTTCCCTGCCAGCAGCCAAGGGGGAAGGAGCTCTCCCAGAGCAAGCAAAGGGGAGAGGCTTGTCTGCAGGAGCAGCTTTCGATACTGTTAAGGGACGGAGCATTCCCTGGTAGGGTTTGTCTGAGGTTATGGCCAAGCGGCTTAAATTTGTTACAGCCCAGGGGCTTGTGTTTTGCTTATTGTTGCATAAAATTGGTGGTTTGGGTAAGGCTATCAGGGGATGGAGGAGGCTTCATAAGGGACCCATGGCAGCATGGGGACCCCAGCACCAGAGAGGGTGCAGCAGTTGGGGCACACACATCCCAGTGCCCGTGAGGCACTGAGCGAGACAGGACCATGGAAAGCCCAAGCGCCTGTGAGGCGCCGAGCAAGACAGGGGCAACTTGGCATGGTAAGGGGCCGTGGGAGATCACGGCCAGCCTGCAGGACCCCATCCTGTGACAAATACATGTATACATGCAGATGTACAAGTTACTTTGGGTGCTGTATGATTGTTATGCAAAGGATATGTGTATTCTTATAACTCTTCTCCTTTTTCAAGGAACAAGATATTAAAGGTTTATAGATATCCTGCCCCCAGAGCACTTCAGAAACTTGCAAGAATTCTGATTATTTAGCACATCAGAGGAACGAGTCTTTAAGATTTAGTACCTTACTTACTAGCTAAATCTGTGTACACAATAAGCCTACCAACTATTGTATCAGTCTTGAAGCAAGAGTGTCCAGAAACTAAAGCTGCAAAGCAGTGCATGGAACAAGGATGGAAAAAGATTTGGGGGGAGGCAGAGAGAGAAAAATGGATGCTAGCTTATGTTGGATGGCAAGAGTTTGGTGGATCTGCCTTCTGATTTTTTTTTTTTTTTTTTTTT